AGAGAGAGAGAGAGAGAGAGAGAGAGAGAGAGAGAGAGAGAGAGAGAGAGAGAGAGAGAGAGAGAGAAGACCCAGATCACAGGGACAGTTCCTCTGAGCTCATCGCTTAGGCTGTTTGGCAGATGCAGGTGAGTCCTGGATCCTCCGAGCTTCCTTCAGAAGTCCCCGAGGCCGTTCACTCAGACAAGTCACATCATTTGTGGTCTCTGCATGGTGTCCTGGTGTGGTGAGGAGTACCAGTGCGAATACCCAGGCATGTAGCTGTTGGGGGGCATACTGACGCCCTTGGCGGAGGCAGAAACGTCCCACACTGGAGGCAGCGCTGGCGAGCGTGGAGACAGGGCTGCTGAACCTGGGAGAGGGTCACTCTCATGGGGGTTACTGCCCTGCTTCAGCAATTTCTTAAACTTAGAGCGTTTATTCTGAAACCATATCTTCACCTGCAAGAAATGCAGCAATCATTAGTGCAGATAAACATCAGAACGGTGCCTTCAATGTCATCCTAGACTCAAGAAGCAATATAAAAACAAACAAACAACACAACACAACACAACAACCATTGCAATTCCCAAAAAGCCCATCCCCAGCCCCCTCCCTTCACTTCTTTCAGCCATCTCCATCCCTCCACTCTAGGCCTGCTCCATATCTTGTTAGGATACCTACAGTCCTTGTGATTCTTGGGTTGAATTAGCCTAGGTCTTAAGGCATCAGCATAAAATGATAAATAAATCAAATGAGATCAGTGGACCAAAATTTTATGGATATTTACATAAAGTACATTTCAGATCACAATCATACAACTAAATTTACCGCCTCCAATTACTCGGTTTTTTACATTTATGAACCCAAAGCTCGAAAAGTTATGCACATCCAAGTAGCAAATGACTATGAATTGATTAAAGGCTGTATGTTCACAACCAAATACCTTAAACATACCTATGTATATTGTGCACATGCCATGTGATAGCCTGGGATATCTTTCTCCAGATAGAAATATTCTTCCAATCCTGCAGGGATTAAGAAATGCACCATCCCCCAATTCCCTACCTAGTATGCTGCTTAAGCAAACAGAGGTCATCAATCATCACATGATTGGGATAGCTACTAAAATTCAAAGGCCCCTGAAAACCACACATGAATCACAAATCTGTGTTGGCAGCTTATTTAGGTCAACAACCCAAATTTTTTTGATGAAAGAAAATGTATGCTGCAGCTTTACCTTTAAAATTCCTGAATCTGTTTTTCTAAGAATAATAGGAGTCACGGAGCATCTAGAGCTCTTTCATAGCAAGCCTCAAATGTTTTCAGTGGCTGTATGGCAATAGAAACCAGGCTGATGGAGAAGAGCTTAGGAAAGTGGCCTGACGACACCATTCTACACGGTCTTGGCAACTGTCTTGTAAGGCCCGAAGTACCCTTGCTGCATGAAGATGACGAATGCCATAATAGGCCTCTTCACCCCATGCAGTTGGCTTAACTGGTGGCTTAAGTGTGCAGCCTGATATACTCACCTCTGGGCCCCTTTCTGTGAAATCTGAAATGTCCAGCACATCTTTCAAGTCAGCAGGACTGTTATCTGTGGTGTCCCAGGCCATAATTTGGGGAATATTCTCTTTGTTTGCCAATTCTGTCAAGTCCTGTGCTCCAAGGAGGTACCTCAACCTGCACTATTTGGTACCAGGGTGATTAACCACTGAGCTTAAAGCAACCTGCAGAAACCCTACCTTACCCATCCTGGAGTGAATGGCTTGCCCATGGATGCCTTTATTAAGCTACTGGAAAATATGTCTAGTTAACTTTTGCTGCTGGTCTCAGCTCTTAAGTTTTCTTCCTATGAGTTGAATGAATTGAAATTCTTATTAGCTCCCAGGGGCCACTAAAGGATCCTTAAGAAAGAGCCCTATTTTGCTTCCTAGCTGGATTCCCCCCCCCAAAACACACACACACACACACACACACACACACACACACACACACACACACTATTGTTTTGTTTCATGTTATTCTGCTCTGGAATCGGATTTGATTGAATTATACTTTTGTTCACCAAAAGATGCTAAGCTCAGCTGGGGTCGCAGAGGGTTGGTGTATATGCAAATCCAATCCAGCATTCAATACCAGGTCATTTGTTCCAAATTGTGTGATCCCAGGAAAGCGCGCAACTGGAGCACAAGCATTTGCCATTTATCTCCTTCCATCCTTGGTTGACTAGGCCAAGAATTCCTCCTGGTGTGCTCTCTGCACGATTTGCAAGCGGGGCCAGCATTTCAGGGATACTTGGGCTTCTCGGGAATTACCTGTGTTTGTGTCAGTCCTAAGGAAGCAGCCAGTTCGGCTCTCTCGGGAAGGGCCAGGTATTGAGTCTGCTGAAAGCGATGGTTTAAAGCCTGGAGCTGCAGGCTGGAATAAATGGTCCGAGGCTTCCGAATCTTTTTCCCCTTTCCGTTGAACCTGATTTCTCCGTTTTCAATCACTGTAGTTTTTTGTTGATCTGTAAGTAAATGACACAGAGGAGCGGTCACCCGTGAGGCCACTGCTGCCTTCTCCCTTCATGTGGCAAGGCCTGTTAGTTCCCCCAAGTTTAAAATAGGATCCTCGTAGTATCCCCCACTATCCCCTGAACTCCCTGGGTCCACTGTAGCCGTGTGTCCCCAGAGGCTGTGGAATCTTCCCTCTGACCGTGCCTCTAGGCCTAACAATGCATGGTGGTGGCCGAATCTAGGAAGCCCGCTGCATAACAGCGGCGCTCCGCAGCAGCGGAGACACGCGCTGGCGCCTTTCCGGAGTACGCGGCTCTGCGAGGCTTCTGCTCTCTGGGCCGAGAGCGGCTTCTTGGCCTGGCTTTTTACAATGCCTGAAGCTGTATCTGAGCCACCCCGGTGTTTACGTGGCCACTTGGTTTTGTGTCACTCAGTTGCAAGCTTAAGTGCTTTAAGTCCCTTCCGTATGTTCGAAATGATTCTGCTGGTGTGGATCAAAACGCAGAAACAAAACGCAATCAGGAGCTCAGAGCAGCCCCAGAGCAGGCTGCAACTCTCTGGACAGCAGAGAGTTATCATCAACCCCAGGCCCTCTGTTTCACCTCCAAGAACAAAGGAGCGGCCAAAGTACTATCGAAAACCCAGAGAGAGGGGGCTGGGTCAGGATTGGGGGCAGGGGACACCTCAAAGCTCACAAGGGTAAGAAAAAGCCCAGTAGTCATTAGTTTAACTGAATCTATCGGCCGCAACAGCTTCGTTCCAGGTCACCAAGGCGCACCAGGTGCCC